TGTAAGAAATTAATATTAGCAACCATATGGCAAGAAATTTAAAAACCTGGGTGAAATGGACAAATTCTAGAAAACTATAATCTTCCAAAACTGAATGAAGAAGTAGAAAGCCTGAATACACCAAGAACAGCTGAAGAAATCAAAGCAGTAATCAAAAAACTCCTGGCACATAAAAGCCTTGGACTGGACACTTTCGTGGGAGAATTTTACAAAACACTTAAGGAAGAGGTAACCCCCGTCCTTCAAACTATTCCAAAAAATCCAAGAAAAGGGAAGACTCACAGGCTCTTTTTATGAGGTCAGCACGGTTCTAATCCCCAAACAAGATAAAGATACAAAAAGAAAGAAAACTACAGGCCAATATACCTGATGAACATAGACACTAAAATCCTCAATATCACCAAACTGCATCCAGCAACATGTTAAAAAGATCATACACCATGGTCAGGAGGGATTCATCCCAGGGATGTGAGGATGGTACAATATTCACAAGTCAATAAATGTATTACATCACATAAACAAAAGGAGAGACAACAAAAATAAATTCATTGCAGATAACAGACTTAAATATAAGTCATGACACCATAAAAGTTATAGAGGAGAACATAGGCAGGAAAATCTCGGATATACCATGCAGCAACATTTTCACCGATACATCACCTAGAGCAAGGAACATAAAGGAAAGAGTAAACAAATGGGATCTCATCAAAATAAAGAGCTTCGGCACAGCTAAAGAAAACACCAGCAAAATGGAAAGGGAATCAACCATATGGAAAAACATATTTACCAATGATACTTCAGACAAGGGTCTGCTCTCCAAAATATATAAAGAACTCATATGACTCCATACCAGGAATACAAACAATCCAATTAAAAAATAGGCAAAGGTCCTGAACAGACACTTCTCGAAGAAGAACTTTTAGAGGGCCCACAGACATATGAAAGGATGCTCAGCATCACTAGCCATTAGAGAGATGCAAATTAAAACCACAATGAGATACCACTTCATACAGGTGAGAATAGCCATCATAAACAAATAAACAAACAACAGGGACTGGAGAGGATGTGGAGAAAAGGGAACCCTAGTACACTGTTGGTGGGAATGCAGACTGGTGCAACCACTGTGGGAAACAGTATGGAATTCCCTCAGAAAACTAAAGATGGAATTGCCTTTTGAGCTGGCAATTCCACTGTTGGGATAATACTCAAAGAACCTATGCACCCCAATGTTCATAGCAGCACAATATGCAATAGCCAAGTGCTGGAAGCAACTTAAATGTCCATCAGTAAATCAGTGGATCAAAAAACTGTGGTACATTTACACAATGAAATACTATGTAGCAGAAAGAAAGGAGGAACACTCCTATCCTTTGTGACAGCATGGATGGAACTGGAGAGCATTATTGTAAGTTAAATATGCCAGGCAGTGAAAGGCAAATACTACATGATATCACCTATTAGTGGAATCTAATCAACAAAACAAACAAGCCAGCAAAATATAATCATCCCTCGCTATACCACAGTTCACTTATTGAGGCTTCACTGTATCTCAGGGTTTAGCTGAAATAAGTGAATCGCAATATAGTGAGGGACGACTGTATACTTCACTGGTGAGTACCCATATAGAATTTTATATGTTGTTAAAATTATGTAGGTTTAAGAGTGTAGAAAGTGTTTAAGAGCATATGAAGTGTTTATAAGAGTGTGGAAACAGTTAATAAGAGAGTGGGAAAGGTTTATAGGAGTGTGGGAAGGATTTATAAAGCCTTAAAATATATATAAATAATAAAATAAATATAACTCTGTTACTTTGCAGATTTTCACCTATGGCAGGGGTCTCTGGAACATAACTCCCATGATAGGTGAGGGATCACTGTATAACCAGAAACATTGAAATAAAGAACAAACTGACAGTAACCAGAGGGGGGTCATGGGGGAAAGAAGGAGAAGGGTTGCCAAGGAACATGTATAAATGACCCATGGACAAAAAACAAAGAGGGGTAAGATTGAGGGTAGAAGGTGGGCATTGCTGGGGTGGTGGAGAGAGGTGGGGGGGAGGAGACAACTGTAGTTGAACATAAAAAATAAAAATAATTCAAAAATGTGTATTCTGCTGTTTTTAGGCAGCATAGTCTATAAATATTAATTGGGATAAGGAAGTTGATAGCATTGTCCAAGGCTTTTTATGTCCTTTCTGACTGCTTATCTTTTCTATCCAGTTTTTGAGAATGAAAGTATGAAAATCTAATATAAGTAAGACTTTTTTTAGTTATCTTTGTAGCCTTTGCTTCATGTATTTTGAAGTTCCGTTCTTAGGTACATAAACATTTGAGATTGTGGAGAAAAATTATCTTCACCATAGTAAACATCATTTTAAAAAAAGGTTTTATTTCAAATGGATCATAAATCTAAATGAGAAAGGAACAATCATAGAGCTCTTGAACAAAAACACAGGGCATGTCTTCAAGACTTCATGGTAGGTGAAGACTTCATTAAAAGGCTATAAAATTGGCCCTGGCTGGTGTGGCTCCATGGATTGAGCATCACCTGTGAATCAAAGGGTCACCAGTTTGATTTCCAGTCAGGGCACATGCCTGATGTCAAACTATATTGCAAGGCCACTGTAATCAAAACAGTCTAGTACTGGCATAAGAAGAGACACGTAAACCAATGGAATAGAAAGCCCAGAAATAAACCCAAGTTTCTATGGTCAGTTAGTACTCAAACAAAGGGGGCACCAGTATAAAATGGAGTAAAAATAGCCTCTTCAACAAATGGTGTTAGAAGATCTTGGACAGCTACATTAAAAAAATAAATTTGAACACTAACTTACACCATACACAAAAATAAACTCAACAAGGATAAAAGACTTAAATATGAGTCACGATACCATAAAACTACTGGAGGAGAATATAGGGATGAGAATCTCAGATATTCCATGCAGTAACATTTCCACCAATATGTTCCTTAGAGCAAGGGACATAAAGGAAAGAATAAACAAATGGGATCTCATCAAAATAAAAAGCTTCTGCATAGCTAAAGAAAACAGCATTAAAATGGAAGGAGAACCAACCATATGGGAAAACATATTTGCCAACAATATGTTAGATAAGGATTTAATCTCCAAAATGTAGAAAGAACTCACATGACTCCATACCAGGAAGACAAACAACCCAATTAAAAAATGGGCAAAAGACCTGAACAGACACTTCTCCAAGGAGGACATATAGAGGATCCAGAGACATATGAAAAGATGTTCAGTATCACTGGCCATCAGAGAGATGCAAATTAAAACCACAGTGAGATACCACTTCACACCAATGAGAATGGCCATCATAGTCAAATCAACAAACAAGTGTTGGAGTGGATATGGAGAAAAGGGAGCCCTAGTGCACTGTTGATGGGAATGCAGACTGGTGCAGTCACTGTGGAAAACAGTACAGAATTTTCTCAGAAAATTAAAAATGGAACTGACTTTTGATCCAGCAATTCCACTGCTGGGATTATATCCTAAGAACTCTGAAACACCAATCCATAAAAACCTATGCATGCCAATGTTCATAGCAGCACAATTTACAATAGCCAAGTACTGGGAGCAACCTAAGTGCCCATTAGTAAACAAGTGGATCAAAAAACTCTATTTGCACAGTGGAATACTATGTAGCAAAAGAGTAGGAGCCCCTACCCTTCATAACCACATGCATGAATCTAGAGAACATTATGCTAAAGTGAAATAAGCAGGTGGTGAAAGACAAATACCATATGATTTCACCTATAAGGCAAACAAAATATAATCAGAGACTTGGAAATAAAGGATAAACTGACATTAACCAGAGGGGAGGGAGAAAGGGGGAAACCAGGAAAGGTAATCAAGGAACAAGTATAAAAGACCCACGGAGAAAGCCAAAGGTGGGTAGGATTAATGGTGAGAGGTGGGGGGTGGGGGGGGCAGGGGAAAGTGGTGGCAGGAAAATGTGAGTACTGTACTTGAACAACAATTAAAAAAATAAAAAGTGAAAATTAAAAAATAAAATGCCAAAGGTGAACGACAAAGAGAAAACCTTAAAAGGAGCAGGAGAAAAGCAGTTAGTTATATATAAGGGAACTACCATAAGACTGTCAGCTGATTTCTCAAAAGAAAGATTGCAGGCTAGAAGGGATTGGCAAGAAATATTCAAAGTGATAATAATGAAGTACCTACAACCAAAATTACTCTAACCAGCAACGTTATCATTTAGTATCAAAAGGCAGATAAAGAGCTTCCTGGCCAGAAAGAGAAAACTAAAGGAGTTCATCGCCACCAAGTTTTGTATAAAATGTTAAAGGGTCTTCTTTAAGAAGATAAAAAATATGAACAGTAAAATGACAGTAAATACATATCCATCAACAATTGAATCTAAAAAACAAAATTAACAAGGAAGCAGAACAGAAACACAATCACAGATACAGAGAACATTTGATGATTGCCAGATGGCAGTGGTGTTAGGGCATCTGTGAAAGAGGTGAGGGGATTAACAAGTACAAACTGGTAGTTACAGAATAGTCATGGGGATGTAAATTACAGCATAGGGAACAGAGTAGCCAATGAACATATTTGCAGGATCCATGGACATGGACAATGGTGTGGGGTTTGTCTGAGGGAGTGTGGGGTGACTGGGTGGAGAGGGATAAAGGGAGAAAATTGGAACAACGGTAACAGCATAAACAATAAAATATAATTAAAAAATAAAAGATATTTGTAAGATTAAGATTAGACTACATTATTCTCAACTCTAGAACTATGAAATTTTTTAAATCATTAATTGTTTTCAGTGTAGTATAACCACATTAGATGTGTTGCTGGTCTAAAAAAAAACAGTTCATCACTTTTAATATCTCAATAAATTACTGAGGCCAGAAAATTGAGATGAATAATATTTTATAAATATTTTTCTTTCACAATTACCAGCAGTCCTCAGGGATAAACTAGCGAAAGGCCTGCCCATTGACAATAGCTTCACCTTTTTGCCAAGATTCATGTGCTCCATCTTTGCCTTCAGAAGCTTCATTTTATTCATAGTTATTGAATTTTCAATTATCTGTTGCCCAGAAGGAGAAGGCTCAATTTCTTCATCCTCATCAGTATACAAATTATACACCGAACCACCACTGCAAAAAAAAAAGAACCAAAAAATGAAATGATAATTACTGTTATGTGCCTGACACCAGCCCAATGACTAAAAATACTCCATGTGCAATAGAAACTATAGAGACTGCTAATGATAAAACAATAAAAATACTCCATGTGCAATAGAAACTATAGACGCTTCTAATGATAAAACAATAAATCCATCTTGTTAATGTAAATTCAAGGAAAATATATTTTTAAACATATCTTAGAAGAAAAAATGGGGATAAATATCATAATCTAGCCCTACTGAAAATTCTAGTACAGCTGAGCTTTTCTGATTCAGTACACTATAAAGATCTTTTGGCTATATCATTCCCACAGAAGCAAAATCCATTTCTACAAAAACGATCTTATTTCATTTTATCAGCCAAGGCAAACTAGACTACAGGCTGATCAAATTAACCAGAATGAAAAAGAAACTGACACTGAAGTCCTGCTTTTTATTCATCCTGAGATGATTCTCACAAAAAAGGAGGGAGGACTCATATACAGGTGTCACCAGAACATTTTCTGTTCTTTAGAATAACAACAAAAAAATACAGATAATGTAATATTTTTCTCAGTGTGTTTAGAAATGTAACTACCTAGAATAACAGATTTAAAATAAAAAAAAGACAGCCCAGGCAATTCATGACACAAATTATTAAACATGTTAAACATTTAAAACTATTGACTAATCATCATGCTATTTGTTCATATCTTAACGTAATTATTATTTGGGGACCCTTGTCTTTGCATAATGCAATGGCACTTATCACACTACCTACATATTTATACTTATATGTCTATCTTTCCCTCTTACTCCACCATATATATAAGTTGAAAGCAGTTATTAGACTTTTTCCTCTTCCTAGTCTTAATACCTGGGACAATGCTTGGCACATATTCTAAAGTTTGACAAACTTAACACAAATGTAAGTGAAATTCAATTTTTTCAACAATGAGAAAAGTAAAAAAATAAGGGTTTGAAAAAACAAAAATATTCTTCCGGCCAAGATGAAGGCATAGGTAGTTACACTGTGCCTCCTCACGCAACCAAAACTAAGGACAACAAGAATTTAGAAACAAAAAAACAACCAGAACTGAGAGAAATGAACCCAACAGAAGTCTGACTACCATTCATCCAGACCGGAAAGGAGGGGTGGAGTCGGAGGCCTACAGAGAGGGGTCCAGGGATCCCAGCAGGAAAAAGTGGTGGCTGGCAGACACTGGCATGCAGGGCACAGACAGCAGTTGGTGAACCCCAGAAACGCCGGGGCAGCTGACGGACCAGTGGCAGACCCTGGGCATGGGAGGCAATGAGCAGACCCAGTGAGGCGCGCAAGGTAGCTGGCTGCCCGCAGCTGCACATTCGCGCCCAGAAGAACTAAGCAAAAATGGGCAGCAACACAGACTGCTCAACCCAGGGACCCAGTGCTGGGAAACAAAGCCTGAAGGCACTGATTGAAAACACCTGTGGGAGTTGGGGCCAGGAGATTCTCTCAGCCTCACAGGAGGCTCCTTAGGGAAACCCACAGAGTCCGAGAGAGTACACAAGCCCACCCACCCAGGAGCCAGCACCAGAAGGGCCCAATTTGCTTGTGGGAAGCAGAAAAGGGGACTCAAGTCCTACAGAGAGCTGAGCAGGAGCCATTGTTCCCTCTCAGACCCCGCCCCCACATACAACCTCACAACCCAGCAACTGGGGTGCCCCGCACTGGTGAACACCTAAGGCTCCGCCCCTCATATGTAACAGGCATGACCAGACCAAAGGAAAAAAATAAAAATAAAAAAGGTGGCTCAAACAGAGTTAAAAGCCCCAGAGCCAGTTTTTTTTAAGTGACCAAGAAATAGCCAGCCTATCAGATGCACAGTTCAAAGCACTGGTGATCAGGATGCTCAGCAGAATTGGTGGACTTTGGTCATAAATTAGATGAACAAATGCAGACTACAATAAGAGAAATGAAGGAAAATGCAGAGGGAACCAATAGTGATGGAAAGAAAACTGGATTTCAAATCAATGGAAGGGGCCAGAAGGAGGAAAGGAACAACCAAACACAAAAGAATGAAGAAACAAGAAATTTTAAAAATGAGGAGAGGTTTAGGGACCTCCAGGACACCTTTAAACATTCCAACATCTGAATTATAGGGGTATCAGAAGGGAAAGAGGAAACACAACAAGTGGAAAAGTTATTTGAACAAATAATAAAGGAGAACTTCCACAATCTGGCAAGGGAAATAGACTTCTGGGAAGTCTAGGAAGCTCAGAGAGTCCCAAAGAGGTTGGACCCAAGGAGGAACATACCAAGGCACATCATAATTACATTACCCAAGATAAAAATGAAGGAGAGAATTCTAGAAGCAGCAAGAGATAAGAGGACAGTTACCTATAAAGGAGTTCCCATCAGAATGTCAGCTGATTTCTCAAAAGAGACCTTGCAGGCAAGAAGGGGCTGGAAAGAAGTATTCCAAGTCATGAAAGGCAAGGACCTACATTCAAGATTGCTCTATCCAGCAAAGCTTTCATTTAGAATAGAAGGGGAGATAAGGTGCTTCTCAGATAAGGCCAAGTTAAAGAAGTTCATTATCACCAAGCCCTTAATATATGAAATGTTAAAGGGACTTATCTAAGAAAAAGAAGATATAAAATATGAACAGTAAAAAAAGACATCAAACTCACAGTTAGTAACAACCATACCTAAAACAAAAGCAAACTAAGCAAACAACTAGAACAGGAGATCACATGGAGGGTTAGCAACAGGGAAGTGGGAGGAGGAGAGAGGGGGAAAAGATGTAGAGAATAAGTAGCATAGACAATAGGTAGAAAATAGACAGGGGGAAGGCAAGAATAGTATGGGAAATGTAGAAGCTAAAGAACTTATGATATGTGGACGTGAACTAAAGGGGGGGAATGTGGGTGGGAGGGGTGGGCAGAGTGGAGGAGAGTGAAGGGGGAAAATGGGACAACTGTAATAGCATAATCAATAAAATATATTTTCAAAATATTTGAAGAATGACTAAAATTTTAAATAGAGCAGAAAAAGAATGTGTGTTAGCTATTGCAGAAAGTTTACTTATAGGAAAACTAATGTATCTATGTTAAAGCATATGAGAGTTAATAAGATTTCCTGTTCTATATGGTTATAAGAATGGAAACAATTTCTACAAATGTTGTTATTCCACAACATTTTTGAAGCACATACTATTACCATACAAAGGCAAAATAGAGGGTGAATAACCCCACTTCTAAACTTTATACAGTGAAATAGATGACATTTTGAAATTCAGGGTTGTTTACACGCAGCACTCATGACTATTAGAAGGAAGAACAGCAGAATTTGATCCAATAACCAATTCAGTCTTTAGTGTGTCTTGTGACCAATACTTCTACCTATTATAGATGCCTACTACAGTATAAAAACTGACACAATGGGCAAAACACTAAATTAACATTGTTAGTGTTTCCTAAATGCCTACTCTATCAGGTACTTTCCACATATTTCTAATATTCACAAAATCTATATAATGTATTATATCCCATTTTATAAATAAAACTGCAGTTAAAAGAGGTTACATAATTTTGTTCAAGACCAGAGAGCTAATAAATGGTGGACCTAAGATTCAAATTCCCCATCTGTCTGGTCCTAAAGTCTATTATGCTTATGTATCCCCCACAACAAATGGAATTTAAAGTATGTGAAGGCTCTTGTCTTAAGGTTCACTATACCTGAAATGGGGTTGATTAAAGATTTTTGGCAGCTCACCATTGGAGTTAGAAGAAAAAACTCCAGTATAATCTATTTTTTATTACCTTGCAACATTTTAACTTTAGGTACTACTCTATTATATCCCGTGCTTTTAACATTAACTGTCCATAATTAATTAAAGAGGTTTTTGACACAACATTCCTAAAAAAAGTAAAAAATTAAAAAAAAATAATACCTGGTCATTTACTGTTTTCTTGTGTGTGTGTAAAAAGTACAATCATGATAAATATTTCATTGGATACATTTTAGGGGGTTAAAAATACTTTTAAATACACCTAATTTTTTAACACATTATTATTTTCCCTTTCATAAAGCAGAGTCATGAGATCAGTTACAAGCCAATCATAATTCTTTTCTAGCTGAAAAATATAACTACTGATTCTGAAGATGGCAGTGAGGTAGGTGGGAGCAGAACCCACTTGCCCTCTGCCCAGCTGGAACATCTTGCCAATCTTCTGACGAATACAGTGAACAGCCAATGGAATTCCAGCATATATGAAGTTTGGAGGTTAAAACTGTAGAGGACATTGAAAAACAGATGGTAAGGAGATCATGTTGGGACAGTAAGGTCCCTGGGACCAGCGCAGGGACCAAAGCTGCTGAGATCCTGGCCTGGAGGGGTTGCTGGCTGCCACAGGAGCTTTGGAGGAGAGCCAGCTCCATGATTGTAACTCAGCAGCTCTTGCCCCTACCAGAGCAGGGAAAGCAGCCTCACACCAGGAGAGACCTGGATGCATGAAGTTGCTGGGGGGAATAAATGGGACTGTGGTCACTGGCTAGGACAGTACAAGATAAATTGGGAAGCTGGGTGACACCTGGAGAGGGGAGAAGAGTTGGGCCGTGAGGGACCCTGACCCGGATAGTCTCTGGACTGGTCAGAGAGTTGGGCTGTGTGAAAAACTGGGCACTTGTTAAGAAAGGCAGGTGCAAACAGCAGGAATTTACTCAAAAAAGGTTCTCAGGTGCTGTTTAAGGAATCTCTCACTCGACTCCTGGGTTAGGAAAGAGGGAGGAAGAGGTGTGCCACGTGGACTTCAGAGGAGGACAGCAGGGCTCAGGGAGTTAGCAACCCCAGAGAGACTTAATTTAGTGGGGGAGCTGAACTGCTCTGAAGGGACTTTGAGCGTGCCCAGCACCCAGGTCAACCAAGAGGGAGGAGGTGGGTGTGAATTGATCCTAAGCAGTGCACCTCATGGGCAGCACAACTGGTGGATTAAAGATGCCTGCCTAGT